TATATATATATATATTCCTATACGAGAAAACCGAGACATTCCTACTAGCGAAGGAAGGTAGTCAGAACCGGGCTTCATAGGGTGGATACGATTAGAGGGAAGACACTTGGATTCCTCAAGCGAGTAACCTCAATCCGTTGACGTTACAAACCGGGAACCGATTCCCACAATCCACTTCGGTTAAATTGAAGGAGTTCAAGAACTACTCGGTAAATACTATTTATTTGTATTTGTATTTACTTTATTATAACAAATCAAAATTTGTATGTGATGCATGTTTTAAAGATGACGATCAGTTAATTCGCAATTAGTATGTATGGGTGTTGTATTTATTCGATAAATACTTACTTTGAAAAATTTTAAATTCCGCTGCTTAAAGCCCGTACGGTACTAGCGAACCCAACATGGTGGATATGGAAGGCTCGCAACATATGGGTGTTCCAGAGCCACTGGCTTCCAGAATACTCCATTGTTCAGCTTGCAACCTCTGATTGGCTAGAGTTCATTTCTTGATGTGTTTAGTCTCTTGTTTCTGTTGGTTGGCAGTGAATTTTCCTTGGCCTTTATTTTGGTGATCTTAAGTGAACTAATTTGGTAGTTGTTAGTACTTTTCTAATGTCTTTAGTTGTTGCTTGCTGTTGTTAGTAGTTGTGAGCTTGGTTTGCAGTTGTTTGTTGCTTTTGTTCATATGTAGTTTACTTGCTTGGCTCCCTGGGTGCATTGGCAGTTACTCTTTTTGCTAGCTGCTAGCTTGGTTAGTCCTCTAGTGCGGCTGTTTTTAAAAATCATGCTCTTGGTACGATTGCTCTAGTCACTGTAAGATGTAAGCACCTCTTTTTCAATTCTTTTGCTTTAGTTTAGGCCACTTGTGTTAGTGTTTCTCAGGGGCAGATGCATTATGAGACTAGTGTGGGCCTAGGTCCATACTGAAATTTTCAAATGGTGCATAGAGTTTTATATAAATTAACCAATGGGGATTTAATTTACATTATGTAGGTACATTTGGGAAGATATAAATGATTTCTCTCCAAATTATAAAATGACTTGTTGCATTATGTTTATCCATCATGAATTACTTATTATTTATTTTTAGTTTTAGGAATTGACACTATTTATCTCATTTTACTAAGTTTTACTATGGAGCCATCAGATGGCTCGACTTATGGAGTCATCCGCATTTATTCACGAATAGTGTATTGACACGTATCTTACAATAATTACACTTTAGATAGATGTCAATACATTAAGTGATGGATGACTCCATAAGAAAACAATCTGATGGCTCCATAGAATTTATGCATTTTGCTTAAATTTGAACTTGATATATAATTATTAATTACTTTATATGACTTATAATAAGAAGGAAAAAAAATAAAATCTTTCTTATTTATGCTAATTAATTTACTTAGATAGTTAAATTGATTCTAGAATTTTTAGTCAATTAATAATTCACATAAATATGTAAGTTTCCACATGAATCACTTTAATTTTGATCCCAAAATTTTTAGTTAATTAATATTTCACATAAATATACAAGTTTTCAGGAAAATGACTTTAAATTATATTTATGACTAATAGTTAATCTACTTTTTAAAAATTAAAATAAAATAAAAGGAGGAACATCTTTTGTACATATGACTTTTTTGTTTTCTTCTCATTCTCAAGATTTATCTTATTGGAACTAAAAAAAGAATAATAAAAAAAATCAAAAAATTACTATTTATTTCATGCCATCTTTTTATCTACAAGTAACACAATTAAAATATAATAAATTCATATTATGTTATATATTCTAATAATAATATTATTAATCCACTCACATATTTTCATTTGTTGATCATTACATTTTTATCTTCTATTCATTCACAATTTCAAGTCTATCTCACTTTTCTTATCTCTATTTTCTTACGAGACCATGTTTTGAAAAAAAAAATATAATATATACAATCCCAACCTATAATTTTATTGTATAATTCGCATGATTAATTACAAAAACAAATTAGGTCCTCATTCATGAAAATTTCTAGATCTGCCCCTAGTGTTTCTCCTAGTCTACTTTGTGGTAGTTTAGCTGTAGTGCTATCGTTGTTGTACAGTTCACTTGAGTTATAATATCTGTCATGTCGACAAAAAAAATTGTGATAAATTGTTTTCAAAGCTTCGGATTATGAAAGTATTTTTTCTTCAAGTAAGGAGTCATGAAAAATGCTAATAATCACATAAAAATACGGACTACTTCTCAAGTCTCACTAGTCTCAACACTTCATTAAATCAAAGCGTACAACCAATTCACCTAGGTATGCTATTGACAACCAAAATTACAAAATCCAAATCATATCAAACAAATAATTCACAATTCAATTTTGTCCACCAACCATAAATAGCGCAACACAAAAACAAGAACATCTTACCATGAAACAAAAGAGTCCTTAGCTAATATTTAAGTCATTGGTTTCTTGCACGTTTTAAAATCTGAGCCACCTTTCAATGCTTGTAACTTGTAACTAAAAAC